GAACATTTCTAACATATTAAAGAACATTTTTTTAAATTTAAGAATCTACTTTAGAACTTTTTAGTATTTTTAATGTTGTTTCATGCGCCACTCGATGGCATATCTGTTTTAGAATAATGAAAAGAGTTATTTTAGTAAAAAATAAATTAAAATAATTTTTTTGACTGTTTGATGATAAAAATATTTTTAAAACGTTTTATTTCTCGAAGATTTGATTAAAAGTCAAAGATTTTCAAAAAGAGAGTATTCAATTGATTTTTCTACATAGAGTTTAAATAAAAACAAATCTATTTTATTAGCCAACAATAGGAAATAAGTAAAATAAAAAAAAATGTTTTGAAAAGTTGAATGAATACAAATATTCAGAAATTGATAAAAATTCCCTGATACTTCCAGGTTTTTTCAAAGTCAAATTTCTTTCCTGATATTTTTAGATTTCCAGGTTTTTCACATCTAGTAGACAACCTGCGTCTCTGAAAGATCTTATTTGGCGAGTTAAAAAAAATTTTTATGTCTTTAACGCTTCTGAAACGTTACAAATCTAACAATAGATCTCATTTAACAAAATTTATATTTGAACAACAACCTTTTTTCTTACACAGTTGGAAGAATAATAAGACCCTAATAAAAATTCCCAGTAGTAAATTACTACTACTAACAGATTGATTTGATTTAGTTAATTGATTTGATTGATTTAATTTTTTTAATTGTAAGCCCGGGCTCTTTGTACACCCAATTCAAGTAAATTTACATAACAAAAGTTCTTTTAATATATGTTTTGAGTTACTGGGGGTCAGAGAATTACTACAACAAATAAATTACGTTAATACTTTAAATAATATAAAAACTGACTCTGTTTGATAATTGTAATTGTTTAATAAGTTTATTGCAACATTATTGTAGGAGCATGAACGTATTCAATTTCCATTCTAAGCACGAGTGTTTAAAAATTTTTTGTCCAGAAACGTATACAAAAATATTACTCAGTTCGCTCCTGATTCTTGATAATCATTCTTATGTTTACATAACAATCACTTTGATGTTTACATTACACTTGAGTGTATTCAATTTTTCCTCAAAATCGAGACATGTAAATTTCACTCGAATTTATTTTTTAACGAGTAATTTATCTTATCGAACCAAATGCAATTTTATACAATTTTCATAAAGTTCATCAAACATACGATAGTGTGCATCGCGTTTTCTTCAACTAGTGCGAAATAATAGATTAAATTTCACGCAAGAGAAGGATGAGACGCTTGTAGACGCAAAAAAGCTCTACTTTAAAAAAAAAAAAAAAAAAAAATGTTGTCAATGATGCGCAACTGTGATAAAAACAATCACAAAATGTGTCGACAAAACTGATCCGACGCCGAGTAATCCGCTCTAACCGAGCTTTGCGCTTACAATCACGGCTCTTGCTCGGCTCACCACGCATTATCATCACCAATTGAATTCATCTCATGATACAAGTGCCATTTTGTCGATGTAAAAACTGCAGGGATAAATAAGGCTTATAATGAAAATAATGTCGTTCATTACAGAGACCGGCAACATCAGTAATACCAATCAGACAACGTCGACGACGAAAAAAGAGTCACTCTACTGCCCTCATTTGCTCCAATTTTTGAAAAAAGCCTAGGATTGAAGAGATTTAAGCCGAAGAGAGAGGGACAGGAGGCAGAGAGACATGGGCGGCGCCGACAAAGCTGAGCGGGGGGAGTACACGAGCTTGAAAGGAAACGAAACTTGGGAGTACATGGCGACGATTGCCTGTAAGCTTTTTGTTTTCCTCCCACCTTTTTTACTGTACTTTGACTTTGTTCGTTAACTTACTCATTTTCATTTTCCTGCTTCTGTAAGTCATCTAGAACCCGCATTAAGCTTTGACAACAGGTTTTGAAGAAGCTTCGGGCGCTTTTCTCTCACTCGATTTTTTGTTTTGTCTCTTTTTATCGGCCGTGAACTGTCCACGGTACCGGATCAAGTTACGAGTTAATATTACGATGCCCCGGGAACTTTGTTTCCACTTTCTACATACTTATTTTTTTCCTTTTTTTTCATTATTGTTGTTGTTATTTTTTAATTTAAAGTAAGTACGCGAATTAGATCTTTTTTTTTTAGTACCCGAAAACGATTTTGCACTGATTTATTGTATCCAGGAAAGTTATACGTAAGCACAAAACTACTTAATTAAATTGAAACTCTTTTTTGTTCTTTTATCATTAACCTACAGTACGAAAACGTAACTTGGTGGTTTTCAAGCAAAACAACAAAACGCAGTTGGTACACAGGCGTTGGATTTCTTATCGTTTATGTGTCGGATGAGCTGTTTCAGGGAGGGAAATGTATATGTATACATGAGAAACTGTCTGAAATTAAACGGAAGCCGATTACCTAAGGTTTACGCTTAATTTCTCACTTTGAAATGAAAAAGGCACTCTGAAAAAAAAACCATACAAATGAATGTGCTAAAATACGGTAGTAATATACTATTGTTCTGTCGTTCAAAGACTTTTTACTTTTGACAAATTAGATCATACCATTTTGAACAGTGTTTTTTATTGCGCAAACAGTAAAAATCACTGTACTTGGGATAAAAACCACTGTTAATAAAAGTAAAAATTTTTATACAAACAGTTAAAAGTTTCTACATGATTGTGTCGTACCAGATTACACTTGTAGCGCGGTAATTTTATTATTTTTTTTTCTCAGTCCACAGCCAGTTTTTTCACGCGCTTTTCGTTAAAATCCGATTTTTCATCTGACTCCCCCTATATAAATGTACCATCATCATCTGAGCTACATCCAAAGCCTCTCAAACATCATCAACTTGATCCTCTGATCTTACAGATGCAATTACAATGAAACCCGCGTGAATTTGCAGGTTCGCTCCTGATGCTCTGTATCGGCTCGGCGATGGGCTGGAACTCACCGAGCAGCGTGAAACTCATGGAGCCAGACTCGCCGGTCAAGATAACGGCGTCCGATCTCTCGAGCCTCATGTCCCTGATGGCGATAGGTCAGTTCGTCGCACCGCCCCTCAACTCCATCATCGTCGACCGCATCGGCCGGAAGAATACCATACTATTCGTCGGACCGCTCCTCATCGTCGCTTGGCTACCCGTTACTATGACCCACAGCGTTATGGTAAGATTTTATCACGACCATTATTACCATGATTTTATCACGTTTTGGGAGCTCTCATATGCTTGGAAACGTAATTTGAAGAAAAATAAGTAAATAAATTAAACAAAATTACGTTCATCGACCTAAAAGCGTGGCAACAAATTCGTTCTTTCTCTCCCGAAAATTTCTTCTAATGGAAAGAAAAATCTGGATGACGTTCAAAGCGATCTAATCCCCCAAATATTTCGTTGGCTCGACTGCTCTTTCGATGTTTCGTTTCACACCACTCTCGTAACGATGTCGCAAATTGTTGTTATCGCGAACGCAAAAATCCTCACTTTGTGTGCCTGTACAAAAAGCCATTTACATATATGTAACGTTATTCACATATAAATGTGAGTGCACATTCCGCAAATGGTCATTGTTGGCGAGATTCTCTCTTTTAACTGATAAAAGGCGATTTGTGCTGCTCTTGTTCTCGGCACATATGGCCAAAAATGAATCCGTATGACGCGTCTGTGGAACATCGGATTGTTAGAGATCCTTTTTAATACTAAACCTTCCGAAACATTTTTATCTCCCACGTTGCTGCTGTGCAGTATGTATGCACATATATACCTCCAAATGCGTGAATGTCAGGCGGAAAAGTTGTTGGGGGGCGGGTGAAGCTTTTTTGTTGTCCGAGCGAAAAGTTTGCAAAAGTTGGTCCACTCTTTCCGCGTCCTTTGTTTTCAAAACTATTTGCCGGAATCGCGGCGAGAATTAAAAGTTTAGTGTGTGCTTTGCACGAGGTCAATCGTGTGGGAGGACGCGAGATTGAATCCGGTTGCGTAATCATACGAGGATTATATGTGCGGGATCGACGATATTGTTTTCCGCGTTATCGGACAATTTAATCGATAACTCGGCCATTGAAGCGCTCTCCATAGATGTGGTAAATTAAAAAAATGGAAAACAATAATGGTTGTTTTTATTTTAAGGAAAAAACAAGCAAACAAATAAACAAACATACGTTCGTTTATTTTCCTACTTTATTGACGCATAGCACAGAAAAAAATGCAACAAATATTGACACACTGAGAGAAAAAAATAATAAAAATTATAGAGGAACTTCGGCAAAAATTACTATTCTGCACAGTGAATTGGAAGCTGGTAAAAAAGGAAGCAATTATTATTTTTAGCAGTAAAAATTTTTGTTTTAACCCTAAAAGGATTGGTTTATAAGTTTTACTTTCCCGCATAGAAAATTTTACTATTTAAACCACAACTTTTACTTTTCGAACAATAATTTTCACTCTTGAAAATAATAACTTTTTCGCTTTTTACCAGCTTGTATTCGATTGGTAGTTTTTGTTGAAATGTCTCTATAATTTTTACAATTTTTTTTCTCTGAGTGCACAGGCGCATCAGCAAGTCTCGTGAAGCTCGTAGTTCCCACTAAATACCCGACATACTAGCTGCATGGTCTGTATATTATTAATAACACGAAACACGCCTTTTCAGATATTGTACGTGGCGCGACTCGCCGCCGGGCTGTCCCTGGGCATCGGGTTCTCCGTCTGTTCCATGTACCTCGGCGAGATAGCGTCGACGAGTACGCGCAGCATGAGCAGCTCCCTCATGCTGATAATGTACAACCTGGGCATACTGATAGCCTTCATATTCGTGCCGAGTCTGAGCATCGTGGCCAACGCGTGGCTGAACCTCGCCCTGGTCGTCAGCTTCATGCTCGTGTTCAGCTTCATGCCCGAGTCGCCCATATACCTGGCTATGGCCGAGCGAACGGACGAGGCCGAGGAGGTGCTGATGCTGCTGCGCGGCAGGACCGACGTCTCCGAGGAGATGAAGGAGATCCAGAAGCAGCTGAGGAACAGCAAGAAGATGCAAGAGGGCCAGAGCCGCTTCTCCCTCGGGGCCATTTTCACCGACAAGGCCAGCCGAATGGCCATTTTCATCATCGGCCTCTTCTCCGTGACCCACCACTTCGGTGGCAACGTGCCCGTGCTCACCTACGGCCAGAAAATATTCCGCGACCTCAAGATCCAGGTGATCTCGGATCACGCGGCCAACGTCATCAACGGAGTGGTACAGCTGGTGTCCATCTGCCTGGTCGCCCCTCTGCCGAACAAGTGGGGACGCAGACCCCTCGTGGCCATATCGGGCGCGATGGCGGGATTCTGTAACCTCGTCGTGGGCGTCTACTTCTACTTGCAGGAGTACACGGAGTTCAAGGTCGAGGGGTACTCTTGGATACCCATGATCGCCATCTTCCTAGTGATATTTGCGTTCAACTGTGGATTGCAGACCGTCCAGAACATCCTCATAATGGAGATGTTCGCGCCCGAGTTCAAGGCTCTGGGCGTGTGCGTGGTCATCATGAACGGAGGGTGGATGTATGTGATAAGCTCGAAGCTGTACCTCATGGTGTCGGACACGTGGCATTTGGGCCACTCACCACCCTTTTTGTTCTTCGTCGTCGTCGTTTGGTCCGTCACGGGACTGCTCATGTGGCTCACCCCGGAAACAAAGGGCAAAACTCTACTGGAGATTCAGGAGGCGCTCTTGAAGTGAAGGATTTCAGGAGGTAACGATCGTAACCACAATTGAAGCGGATCCTCATACGTTTAAGCCAATAACGCGATTGTTTGATGATTTGGAGAACACGACAGTTAATTGTTTATACCGTTGCGCAAAATCTTCGACCGATTATCGAAATGCTTGCTCGTGGGTTTCGAGGACACGCATTTGGCTCGAAGTGTAAGATAATACAATGTAATTCAACACGAGTGTGTACGTATGCAAGATGAATTAGCTTCCTAAAAATATTATATGTATAGGTTTAAAAGTTGTATGAAAAAGAGAGCCCTCACCCATCGAGGATTGTGTGGGTTTGGCAAAGTCGAGGTGGTTAAAATACATTGGCCGTACATCAAACGACTTTCAAATTATGTGTTTTTAGTTTCAAGCTCATTAAAAACTTTTAAAACTTATGTGGTTTTCCAACAACAGTAAACACGTACTGGAATTAACCAGTAGTTCGAGCATCGTAAGTTTCACTCATTGGCGTTTGGAGTTGTTTTTTTTCTTTAAGATAAACGCATATGATGTGTGTGCTTGGAGCAAATGGATTGCCAAAGTTTGCTAAAAGTGTCGGGAAATGCATTCAGCTTAAACAAAACAGTAGTTTGTTGATTGGTAAAATTGCTCTCAGAGATGAGGTGACGAGAAATGAGCAAGAATCTACGATTTTTTTTTTGTTAATAGTAATTTTGTCCGATAATTTGTGTTTATTGACTAAAGTGTGCGTTACGTTTATAATGTAAAGGACAATAAGGAAACAACGGTGACCTTTTTTTAATAAAGTATCTATACGCTCAAGTTTAGTACATTTTATATTGAAGAGTCATCATTTAGTGGACTTTTTTCTAAAATAGAGAAATTTTATGACTCTTGTATCATAAAATACTACACCTATTGGTATGTATTATACATACATATGTAATTAGATGACGTATCCTATAATTAAAAAGACTGTACAGTTTTTATTGAAGCGTGAAATGTATATTTTTTTAATAAACAAATTAATATGCTGGCATGCATTGTCCAGTTGGTGAAGCAAAAACGGCATGAACTCTGTTGTAGCACGAAATTACTAAATATTAGCGTTGAAATTGCGAAAAAGATGGGCATGTGAAAGACATGATCGCCACATTTGTTAACTAGACAAACAGTTTTAATGTCGTAAACTTGTTAAATTTTTGTAATTTTTTTTTTAATTTCTATGAATTGAAAGTACGTTCTTTGAAGCTGTTTTTTGTGGACTAAAAAAATTTTTAGTGAATTTTAAATCCTAAGGTACAAATGTTACCAATTAGCTAATCTACTTTTGAAGCATATAATTATTTCCTAATTGAAAAAAATCTAAAAACTATTATTTTTTTGTGAACTGTAAATTTGGTATTTCATATAATTGAGACGGTCGTATTGACATAACGTTGATTTCTTACGTAGCATAATTAGCTATAGATCAATATTAAATAAATACCTAGAAACATAGTTGACAAAAATCATTGTACCAGCCACGTACGTACAATAAATTTTTTACACAAAAATACAATGGAAAATTTGTGCTCTATTTAATCCCTTATTGTGAACCGAAATATATTTCAGAAGAAAATAAATACTTTGTTAAGCCACGCTAATGCCTTTGTGGGGTAAAAAAAGGACGGCTGGTCTTAAAATATATAAGTGGTTATACTTAAACGGAAGAATGAGGTAAAGGGTCATGGCTGAGAATAAGAGAAAAAAATGTCTGCGTACTCTCTGGAACACTGCACAGCCGAGTCATACATTCATGTAGGTATATATCGCGGAAAACTCTTTTACATGTACTACAAGCACACCGAACACGGTACCACCCACGGCTGGGACGCTCTGATACATGCTCGGCAGCATACCTTACTGCATTATTAGTCAAGCCGAATATTTATCGCGGAGTACAAGGGTCCACCCGCGCTCGCTGTTGCAACAGCGTGAGCTTATTATGGAGAAAAGAGAGGAAAAAGGAAATTACTCGGCTTCTCCCTGTAACGCGAGGCAAAATTAAATGCAACCTCTTACGAGGATTACGTTTTTCTCTTTACCTCGTTGAGCGCTTATTACAAGTTACTCTCTGGAATTAAATGAAATTTTCCAGTGACAGTTGTTTTAAATCACGTTATTTTTATGTATCTCTCTGTGAACGCGTAATTAATAAAAACATTCTTTTTGTTTTGGAAAATCCGTGTTTGCTTTTACTTATTAAAAATTTTTTTTTCATTTGACAAGGATTTAGTTGCATGTATAGGCATTACTTGAAACTTTAAATACAGTATTTGAAATTTTTTAAATAAATACTGATGGTGTTGTAATTAAAATACTCTAAATACATTTAAAAAATTTTAAAAATCTAAATACTTTATTGCAAACAAAATGTTTTAAATACAAAAAACTTGAAATACAATTATATTTGGTCAATGGATTTGAAATAATGTAGTTAAAATACAAATTTATTTGATGAGAGTATTTCAATTTATTTAATGAAATATATATATTTTTTAAATAATTCACTACAAATACAATTGTATTTAAAATTTTTTTTATTTGAAACACTTTATAAATCAATTGTACTTCAAATATTTAAATTTAGTACTTGACTAAATACATTTGTATTTGATAAAGTAATTGAAATAATTGAGTCAAATACAAGTATAATTTTTCAACGTGTTTGAATTGATGACAGAGTTGTCCACGACAAATTGTATAACTATGAAATTTAAAGTTTACATTTTTTCTCTTATTCTATGGCCATACCTAAACGTAATATAGAATGTTTTAAGATAAAATCAGCACTATCATATCATGTCTTTTAGTATTACTCAAAACCAATCATATGAAATTTTTGTAAAAGAACCTAAGGTAAATTTTAGTGTGTGTGTGCGGTGTATAGTTTATCTTTTCTCGTTAAACTCACAATCCTTGCATCTAAGATGAGCTCTCATGTAATATTACAACGCATACATGTATATCTACACACTAATTTTGGGTTTAAAGTCATAAGGATGAATATTTATAATTTTTTATTTTTAATTAAACTTTTGTTTAGAAAAAATTATAGAGCGTTTTTAAGCCGAAAATTGTATAGAGCTACTTACAGTTCTGGAGCTTTTGTATTCAGTAAATAAAAATTTTGGCACCTGGTGGGACATTAAAAAATCTCTATCAGCCTTAGTGCTTGTACATACATACATTACTGAAATTATATACGGAGCCACTAAGCATTCGCCAGGAGAATGTATTGTAAGTGGGAAATTAATCATTTGGGAACATCCCATACTGATGTGATCCCAAAACGCTTTGATTTGATAGATCCGTATTTGAAGTATAATATTTTAATACATTTTGAAATAAAATTGTATTTTATCAAAGTATTTAAANAATTGAAATACGATATTTAAATACATTTTGTAAGACAATGTATTTCGTACAATTTATTTAAAATAAAGTATTTGAACTACTTTCTATTCAAATATTGTATTTAATATTTATTGTAGTTAAATACAAATTTATTTAAAATACAAACGTATCTGATGTTTTTATTTGAAATAAAATAGTGTAAATACTATATTGTAAATAAAAACAATATATTCTTTCGAACAATTTTTAATGATTGACATATTTTATTTGAAATAAAATATTTATTCAAGTATTTTATTTGAATTACTATTTTCAATATAATCATAAATAGAGTATTTAGTTGAGATATTTTATTAAAATAAAGTAATTAAATTTTTGGATAACTTGAATTAAAGCTGAAATGAAGTATTTCAGAGTATTTCAACTCTGTCAAATACTGCCCATCTTTGCATGTAGACAACAAGCAATAAATAGACGTTAAAAAGTATTATAAATTACACTATTTGACCCAGTATAAATTGTGTTTGAATCTAAAGACTAGATAACTCTGACTTAACTTACGGGCATGCGTTCATGATAAATCAAGTACATCTCCTTTTCTCGAACCTTTTTTGTTCCATCTTCTTCTACCATCGTGTAATTTAAATTAAGTAAATATGTATTTTTATTTTTTTTTGCATTTTTAGGTGATCACAAATTTTGTAGGGATAAAATTTGTATTCATTTTTTTCTTTTTCAACCTCACCAGTATAACTTTTTATACGTTTCGATTTTCAGTGCAACGGTAGTAGCTCTTATTCAGAAAGATAAATTCAATCTTCTTGAAAAATTTTAAAGTCGTTGAGTAATTGTAGCTAATATTCTTATAGAAATAGAATATTCAGTGTTCACGGGGAATTAATTTAAAAAAAATGACGATTGTATATTATAAAATAAGAAAAAAATACTAATTAATACGAAGAGAAAAAAGCTTCCCCTCCCCAAAAAAAATACTGTCACTTGTTTTTTCGAGACGTAAAAATCGTGTTTGAATAGGAGGCCGGCGTCATCTTGCCATTGGCACTGCAATTACCTTTTAAACCACACCGTCTCTGTAGCTGTATCGTTTCCCAGCCACGTTCATAAGCTTATTAAATTTTTTTTCGCGCTGCTTTAAGGCCATTTGCGACTTTCTGCTCCCTCCTCCACTTTCACCTTTCCTGTTATACCTTTTTTCAGGTACGTCAAGGAGTTTAACTGAAGTACGCACAATTGGCTATTCAAAAATGCGTCGCTCGAGCAGCGGTACCTATATAGCACCAGCAGCGATTGTGCACCGCACTACCGCAGCCGTGTAATAAGCGGGGGATTTCAATTACGCGACTTTTCTTTTTTTCTTTTTGCCCCGTAGCGCGCCACGTGCTGATTTTTAATAGAGTTTGTTCCACGGTTAATATGGAGCGAGATTTCTTTTTTTTCTTCATTTTCCAGAGCACCTACCCACCTCGGCTACCGTAAAAAGAGTTTTTCCTAGTTAACCCGAGGATATTATTTTTTTTGTTCCACGATACAAAATTCAGCTGGAACAAAAGACTGTACAATACTTAATTAAGTGAAATTCGTGGCGTCGCTCGTGC